ATAATAACTCAAATCGGCGGTCCTCTCCTTTATTCGGTCCTCTTAGGAACGGAATATGCTTGAGGATCGCTAGAATATCTTTTATTATTTACTCACGTATTTTCTCTCCTTATTACAAGATATCCTCCATTCCCCAAGTCCCTCTTTCTTTTATAGGCACTCCCCATCCATTATCCTCTTCAATAATGGCAGTGATTGGGGGAATATTCGTGCCAGCCTTCCTCCATCTGGGGGGATGTATCTCAGCTTGAGGCCGTCCACTGGAGGACAAGCCTGTCCGTCCATCTCTTGCTCCCTGTCCGTCCCTTTCTCCTTGTCCTTGTCCCTTCAATTAGGGGGGACTGCTCTAGACTCTTCCATACGATTTCTTTCCTTTGGGGTAGCTTATTCTTAGTGGGCTAGGCTTCAGCCCATTCTTAAGCCCCCAATCCTTTTCCTTTTTCCTATCTTTCCTCACGGATAACTTCTCTTGACTGGCCCAATATATTTTCTCTGGGTTGGACACTCCTTTTGATGGACGGAATCTAAATTGGGCCTGGGCCCAATTCGCTAGTATTCTCTCGATGGGCTTGGTTCCCATCATAATCTAATCAATATTTTTTAGTTTATGATTATTTTTTAATAAAATAAAATTATTTAATTCATATATTAGAATAATCATTCATGTTATAATGTAATACTCCGTAATATTTTTTATTTTATGATTATTTTTTGTGAAATTAGAATATTAATTTAATATTTTAATAATTAATTCATACATACATTAAAATAAATATTTAATTTATATATACATTAAAAAGTAATTAAATTTAGATAATCAATATATAGAAGAGATAGTATTTTTATTAAAATATCTCATCCTTATAAAATATCAAAACTTTAGAAACTCAAATTACAAGTAGCAACAAAAATGTATTTTAAAAGTAGAATTAGATTGACATTGTCAATGTATTTTAAAAATAATTTTTCCGACGTCTAATAATTAAGGATTACTTTCTCATTTTCTATTTAACTTGTTTCTAAAGTTTATTCTTTTTCATTTTTAAAAATAATAATAATAATAATAATAATAATAATTCTTGATGGGATCTGATCTGATCAGGTCTGGTCTGATTTGATCTGATTGGATCTGATCTGATTAGATCTGATCTGATTCGATCTGATCTGATCTGATTCGATCTGAACTGATCTAATCTGATCTGATTTTAATAATTATAAGAAAAAATAAG